AGTACTGTAATCAACCCAGTATTTTAAAGGGGCCCTATTCTGCTGATGTTCAGGTGTATATCAGTATGTAGTGTCTCTACTTTAAAGAGTCCTCTCCTGCTGATGTTCAGGTTCATATCAGTATGTAGTGTCTCTACTTTAAAGAGTTCTCTCCTGCTGATGTTCAGGTGTATATCAGTATGTAGTGTCTCTACTTTAAAGAGTCCTCTCCTGCTGATGTTCAGGTGTATATCAGTATGTAGTGTCTCTACTTTAAAGAGTCCTCTCCTGCTGATGTTCAGGTGTATATCAGTATGTAATGTCTCTACTTTAAAGAGTCCTCTCCTGCTGATGTTCAGGTGTATATCAGTATGTAGTGTCTCTACTTTAAAGAGTCCTCTCCTGCTGATGTTCAGGTGTATATCAGTATGTAGTGTCTCTACTTTAAAGAGTCCTCTCCTGCTGATGTTCAGCTGTATATCAGTATGTAGTGTCTCTACTTTAAAGAGGTCCTCTCCTGCTGATGTTCAGGCTGTATATCAGTAATGTAGTGTCCTCTACTTTAAAGAGTCCTCTCCTGCTGATGTTCAGGTGTATATCAGAATGTAGTGTCTCTACTTTAAAGAGTCCTCTCCTGCTGATGTTCAGGTGTATATCAGAATGTAGTGTCTCTACTTTAAAGAGTCCTCTCCTGCTGATGTTCAGGTGTATATCAGTATGTAGTGTCTCTACTTTAAAGAGTCCTCTCCTGCTGATGTTCAGGGTGTATATCAGAATGTAGTGTCTCTACTTAAAGAGTCCTCTCCTGCTGATGTTCAGGTGTATATCAGTATGTAGTGTCCTCTACTTTAAAGAGTCCTCTCCTGCTGATGTTCAGGTGTATATCAGTATGTAGTGTCTCTACTTTAAAGAGTCCTCTCCTGCTGATGTTCAGGTGTATATCAGTATGTAGTGTCTCTACTTTAAAGAGTCCTCTCCTGCTGATGTTCAGGTGTATATCAGTATGTAGTGTCTCTACTGTGACATGTCTCCGTGCTTTAATGTTCAAAAAGCTCTTTATTTTTCTCACACTGAGATGTCCCGCCCCTTAGGCTATCAGGTTCAATGTGTTGGAGCGCTAGCCAATAGAAGCGCGAGCGTTACATAGTGATGTCTGTTTATCGTAATAATTATGGGATAATATAATACTCCGTAACACTAATATTGTGGAAAGAGCTCCATATTGAGTACTTTGACTTATTGACTTATCCCTCTGTACTTCTACTTAAGTAGCATTTTGAATTCAGGGCTTTTACTTGTAATGGAGTACTTAAAGAACATAGTATAGTAAAAGTATTTCTTCCATCTCTGACTCCATCTCTCTCTCTCTCTGACTCCATCTCTCTCTCTCTCTCTCTCTCTCTCTCTCTCTCTCTCATCTCTCTCTCTCTCTCTCTCTCTCTCATCTCTCTCTCTCTCGCTCTCTCTCTCCTTCTCTCTCTCTCTCTCTCTCTCTCTCTCTCTCTCTCTCTCTCTCTCTCTCTGTTTCTTTGTTTGTGTCTCAGTGGGAAGCCGGCCAGTGTCCTCACCACTTAACGATGCAAAGGTCAGAAACAAGTCCTTTCTTATTATATGTATATAATATATTTATATAGTTTCTTTTTTTAATTAGTCAACCTTATTGTGTGTGTTTATTTTGTGCCTCCAGGTTGAATGTATTATTCAGGAGACACTTAATGAGGACGAGTCGCATCATGACTGCGGCCCACAGCTAGCAGGTGACGTCTTTAATAACAGTGTGAAATGTCTGTATTTTTCCCGGGTCTTTACGACTGAATGAATATCCATTATATTTTAAACACATTCCTGACATCTTATAGACCAAACAACCAATCCATTAATACAACAAATAGAAGATTAATGAACAACTAAAAATCACTCGACTAATTCTTAGATTGATCGACTTTTCATTTAATATTACTTGGAGATACAAGATAGCGAACTAATGCGAATCATCTATCGCAAGATGCTTTTGGTCTTTTTGCTGAAATTTGACAACTTTTTTATGGATGTTTTGCTGTGTAAAGACGACACAGATACATTTGTAGAGACTGTGCACTCCGCTCTGCATCAGCCAAACGGCTCGCTGGCTGCACCCTCACTGCGAGGGGGACCCAAGGTTCCCATCAGCAAAAACACGTGGGTTTGCTATCCTGGCTCCAAAATGGTGGAATGAGCTCCCCATTGACATCAGGACAGCAGAAAGCTTACACATCTTCCGGCGCAGACTGAAAACTCATCTCTTTCGACTCCACTTCGAGCGATAGAATTACTAACAAAGCACTTATATAATAACTAAGGACTGGCTTATCTAGAGCCAGTTGAGTAGCACTTGAAATGTGTTGGCTCTATGAAACCTGATGTACTTATATGATTCTGTTTTCTTCAAGTTTGTATCTTCTTGGTCGAATGCACTTATTGTAAGTCGCTTTGGATAAAAGCAAAGTAATGTAATGTAATGTGTTGGTATTCTATACTCTGTTGTGTTATTAAAGTATTATGTGTAATTGTTTCTGCAGAGGAGCTCGATGAGGTGCAGAGACACCAGGGTCTGCTGGGCGAGCTGCAGAGGCTCGCTGACGACGGTACGCACAAACTCACTTTCACACGCTCATGTGCAAGAAGACATTGTCTGATTTACTGTTTTATTTATGTTGATTTGAAATAAATGAATGTAAATGTCACAAATGTGTCAAAAATGATTCTCCCATCACACACAAGTGATGATGAATCTTAGCACCACATGGCACTAACTTGTTGTAAACTTTACTCTGAAATGCGTTTAGTTTGGAGCATTATTTCCCCTTTGAATGTGTTTGTGTTTATTATATCTTAACTATTTTAAACAAATGATTAGTCTAATAAAGTAAGTGTTCTTGGACCATTTAGTAGTTTATATTTTAGGGGTATTTGGATGGTTACTAATGGGTGTTTTTAAAAAGGCCCTATTATGCTTTTTCCCTTTCCTGTAATGTGTTCTATAAAAACATGGAGACATGACACACTCCTATTGGCTAGCGCTCCAACACATTGTACGTGATAGGCTAAGGGGCGGGACATCTCGAAGCGGTTGACCAATCACAACAGAGTACTTGTAATTTCCACCTTTGTGAATAAAATGTATGTAATTGTTTCAGAGCGAGAGCATGCGAAGGAGCGCTACGAGTACAACCTGTCTGACGATGAGAGCGACTTCGAGCAAGGAGACGAGGAGGACCAAATGGAGGAAGAGGAGGAGAGAGACGTGACCGACCCTCCAAAGGAGACAGAGGAAAAGGAGGACATTAAGAAGAAGAAGTTAATGGATGAGCCA